CGCCTGCCAGCAGGGGTGCATCACCGCACCCAAATCGAGGATTATCACGATCACCAGGTCGTAATCCAGCATGTTGTTGCTGTTATGGTTAGTTCCTTCATATTAACCTGTTAATGCTATCCTAAACACAAATTTTTTTGATTATTGTGGTAATTCAATCTTATATATTAGTTAGCACATCTGAATACATTAAAACGATGATTAGGTAAACATAAATTTATTATATGAAAACGTATAATGTAGACTGTCATCAAACAATATGAACAAATATTATACATAACATTTCTATTGATCAAAGTATCATATAAATCAATACTAGTTAATTCGTCTGTAATTACTGATGCAAACTCTATATGAAATAAAATCCTGTCTTTGCAATACCAAGTTTAATAAGCACTCTACATGAATCGGGATTTTCAGCCTTTGGAAGATGAAAAGCAACGAAACAGTGGTCCCTTCCAAATTTGGATGTAATGATGGATCTGTATTCATTAGGTCTATGTGGGTTACCTACGGAAAAGTTTGTTACGTAAATCGCCACCCATTTCATTAATAAACCCTAAAATGTTGTTCATATGTGATGCGAAAATTCCCGATACTTGATTTTCGAAGTAGAATTGAGTATGCAATTTTTCAGTTATGCACATGACTGTTTTTAGAGAGTCAAGGGTGATAAAGACTGATTTTAAAGGTATATTGAGGAACGCTACGGATACGATGTGTAGTATTGAACATAAATAAAACTATAGTATTTTTCAATAAATCCTACATGAAGAGGAATGATGTAGGAAAAACAATTTCTTGATCGGTTGAAAGGCCATTATTCATACGAACACCAATGCTTACATTATTTATATCCAAACTGTAAATGGCGATGTTGACTGACTGTGAAACTATCATTTGCAAATCAACAGAAGAGCAAGTTAGTTCACTGTAACGTTTCGATTTTTAAAAGCAATTTAATCGAAAACTACTTGTCCAGTGTGTTAAATCAGGGTAGATACACTTAATTAACGAGAAATAATAAGTTGCTCAGACAGTCATCAACGTGACGAAATCTAGACTCGGGTTCCACATTTAAATTAACAGATCGTTGGTGTTTTTTAACTCAGTAGCATAGGGAAGAATACTACTGCTTTTCGTGTTTGTGTACAGTGTAAGATCCACTAGTTTCCTTTCTTTTGATTTATAGGCAGGAAGAGACCGAACAGTGGACAGAGTCCAGGACGTTGGCGCTAAGGAAGGATGTGGAATTTAATTATAAGAGTTTTACTGTTGATCCAATCCTTGAACAGCTGTTAGGGTAAAGAGCTTGATTTCCTCAAATATATTTATTCTCACCAGTGTTTTTCTGAAATATACCAGTTGACCACGGTTTCAGTATACCGAGAACATTCGTCTCATTTATAACGCATTCCACTTATTTTTGCTGCCGAATCAGTTAATATTTACACAACTACGCCAAGTATTGTATCATTCCACTGTGAACTTTAGTGCAGAAAACCACTTTCACCTAGTGAGCCTTAATGCCTGTGCTATTATGAAATGCTAGTAATAACTTACAAATGATCTTCTTCTAGTCGATGTTAGGTACATCAAAAACAGTCTACCATGTTTAGTGTGAAATATCTTGTAACAAAGCAAGATGTAGCAAGATGTTCCGCTATATCTTGGGAGTGTGACTAGTATTAGTTATTCAGGAAGGATGTTTCGTCATATTCGGGATTCTTAAGATATAAGTACGTCAGTTGGTGATGATATTCACACTAACATCTGTGATTAGTATCCATTACTTCGAACGTCAACTGAGCTATTGAGTTCAAACAAATTGTTCAACAGGAGTGAAGTTATTATTAACAGGTCAACTTCACTTCTGAATATCAACGACGAGAAAACACAAAACCTCATAAATAAGCGTTTGATAACTTTAGAGATGATCACTAAGTCACTGCCAGTCTTCATTGACTCTAAAACTTGACTCGATTTTAATCAATTAATAATAGGAAAACTTCTCTGAAACAAGAGGTTATGAACAAATCTTTCTTCATACGATCTGGTACAACCGCCACGTACATATATTGAGTCAGAAGTAAAAGCCTGATTTTGTAAGAATAATTGTCCATTCACCAATCTCAGCCAGACGTTCCATGATCAGGAGTATTTTTAATATTTTATCAGTCAATACTGACAAGTGAATATTTTTTGGTAAACAATTACTCCAGTTATTCAGAATAAATATTTCGGTACTGAAGGTTCAAGGAAAGTTACGTATTCTATACTCATTCATCTGAATCATTCTAATACGTGGTTCAGTAATCAATTTGTAGTTAGTTAGTATTTAGAAATGCATTTTATATGCAGACAGTTTCGATCAAATAACGACATCAACTGGAATATCAAACAGATCCTTTGTTCTGATCAGACATTCCTAATCAGTGCTTACACGTCACCACAAAAGATATCTAACTTTGGACAATGAAGTTTTTGCATTTTTTGAAAAGAGACGTTGATATCCTAGAGTCTAAATTTTCGACTCCGATTAATTTTTAGTGTGTTACAATCATTATCTGATGTCATCCATACTCCGTTGTTGGTCTCCGAAGTGTCTTTTCCTCCGTGACCTCTGAACACCTCATGTTCCATTGGGTATGTGGTCATGAGTGTATAGTGGTGACATTTTTCCAAATGGAACGACACCGCTATTTAGAACAGTTTGGTTCACGAGGATATCACTTCGTGATAAGCCGTACTGTTAAGGTTACACAGAAACTCCCGCAAAACCATCCAGCTAATTAACTTTGCTGTGAATTGGAACAAACTGCTTTTTCCATATTCCATGGAACATACCCATTAATGCATAATATACCAGTTTGTCTTATTCATTTATTATACTTTTCTAATTAATGTTTCTTATATGCCTACGTAATCGTCTGTCTCAAACACTTATTTCTCATTTGTCAACACTCGCCTTTCAAAACACATGAATCATGAGTTGGACTACTTTAGATGTATGTAGAACTACCTGTATAACGATTCAACTAAATGTTTTGCTTTCTGTATAAGAGATAACATTCTAAGATCAAGAACATACACAGCAAACATTATTTCGGACACACAGTTTATGTATTCAATCACTTTTAATGTAGTTGAAAGAAAACAATGGTGTCATTTTATTCTGCAAAAAATTTCTGTTTTGTTATCATACAAAGTTAAAGTTTTCTTTTACTTTAAATCCAAGTTAGGAGAGCATATTTATTAGTGAAATTTATGGATGTAGACTGTGTTTAGGACGCATCGCGCTTATCGAAATCTTCTCATGAAAATATTGATGACCGAAACAGAACGATCAGTCATTAGACATACAGGCTTGAATAAACATTTATATCCGCTGATTGGTAACCGATCATTACTAATAAGTGCCACTATAAGCAGAATATAGGTTCAGTGTTTATTAGTGATATCAATGTAACACATTCAGTCTCAAGCGCAGAATCTGAATATATAGTTATATGATGACGTTTCGCAACCGCATGTAAGTCTAGTTTCCAATGAATACATAGGTGGTGCACGTTAATGATGTGTTTCAACCCCATCCGAAGCACTTCCTGTATTAACGTTGTTCTCAGCACCGAGTAAAGACGCAGCGTTGGATATGAGGTGAACAATTCCATTCTTTAGAAAAGAGTCTAGTTAAAAACGTTAACCAGAAAAAATCATCTTAAACTTTTCCGACTCCACTCTGGAATATGAAAAGTTTGTATTCGGAAGTGTTATGACGCAACATAACGAACGTTCAGATCCTTCGGAATTCAATATGCCGATACCTCATGAAACAACCTGAACCATGGATAAGTAAATTTTGTGGAGACATCGGGACTATGATGTACCTGAAAAGATTGTCGTCATCATGCAGAACTCTTACAAGGGAGTGAACTTTAAATTCACATATGCATACCAAGTGAATACTGCCGTTAAAAAAGATTAAAGAATATAGTGACGTCCACTTTTTTTAAATAAACTAACGTTTCCTTATCTCACAATTTGCATTAAAAAATATTATTTTTCTACAGAGAAGAAAGTAATCGTGCAGTTTTCTTTTAGTATATTCTAATACATAATTCTTTCACTTGACTATATGAGTAACACTGACTTATGTGTTTTAGATGGAATTCGAACTGTTACTGTCTCGACAATGTAAATTATTCCACAAAATAAGTGTTTTTTTTATCCCGGTTATAATCTTATAACTTCGGTGTTAATTTAAGTTAATGTTATGAACTGGAAACTTTTATTTAGGATTTTGTCAGATAACAGGTTTATTGATTCCGTTTAAAAACAATTATTAGCCAGTGCTTCAGAGTGAACTTCGTTGTTTTTACTTATGTGCTTCATTCACAAAATTAGTTTTCTCAAGTTCAACAAATAGCAGAAGTGGTCTGATGATAAACGTTCAAACTTCTGCATATAATGTATATTCCATATTTCTTCATTTCACATTTATTCACATTTAGTCTGATTTACAAATAATCCTATATGAGCGTATAAAATACAATGATGAACTATGAATATTTAATCTCTACTTCCCTAAATGATTCAATGATACAACATTTATGACACAATTTGAATTTAAAATTAAGAAATGCGTGAGAGTATCTTTCAGTTCATTCTTTATATGAAATAGTATCTTTTTTTAAACCATACAGAACGATAATATTAAAAACTAAACATTATGATCAACTAGCAGTCAATTTTATAAACTAATTCTAGTCAAAACTTACATAGTGATTTTGCTCTGTCAGATCAATAAAATCTATAAAATAATTAAACTCTGTTAATTTGTTACTTTAATTACCCTCATTTTGTTTTTTCTTACAAATTATTATTTTCCTGATATAATGATGTGTTGATTCTATTTTATAAAAAAAAACCCGTTAGAACTGTTCAACAAAGATTATGATTTCAAATTTATGTTTAACTTTATTATTGATAAATTTCACATAATTGATTCGCCGGTTTTTTTAAAAAAAAAGAAATACGTTTTTTACAAAACACTGACAATACACCTACTGGAGGAAATTAAATATGCCAAATCAAAAAGAAGTTGGAATTGTACTTGATCAACCTGGAAAATCAATTGCACCGCGTAATCTTACTCTAGTGCCTCCTCCTCATCGACAATGGACTGGTGGCATTTGTTATTGTTGTAAAAATAGAGATTGGGGTTAGTTTAATGATATTTTTTTTATTCATGTTTAATTATGTTATGATGATTAACTTCTGATACAACATTATAAAAATGGTTATATAATATATCGTGACACACTGGTATTTAACCTATGAAAGTTTGAGTTGAAAATGATGCCTTTCCATAAGAGTTCTAAAGTAGTTATAGTTTTGTTTTAGTTTTAAACGATTAGTTGCAGTTGGTTAATACTCATCAGTACGGAACATTTGCAATTTACAGTGAATTCATCTACTTGTCAGGTTCAAAGCCATTTCACTCAGTGTTTCATTCAGAGAGGTGACAGTTTAACACTATGGGTTTCGACTTCCCTCCTAAGGAATCGTGACGTTTGCACAAACTGGTCTTACCAATCAGTTAAGTAATCAATGTCATATTCTCTAGTCCCAAGAGCTAAGATTGTAGTGCCTCCATATGTATTCGGGTTGGCTTACATTTAATTTGGTTAAGCCCTTTCGATTAATTTATTTAACCGAGCCATTTGTATGGCAACAATTTATATGTACCGTTCGCTCATGTCATTGTCTGGTTTGTGTGAGCTCACGTGACTTGTCCCACTTGTCTTTTGACCTTGTCAACCATTCGTCGCCTTTATTCATGTGTGTGCATGCCTATCTCGTTGGTCACATGTCTGTCTTATTTTTGTCTGACTATAAATTCTTAGTCATGCTTTATCTCTGGGACTTGGCTCAACAGCCTTCTCCAATTCACGTCTCTTCATTCGTTTTATTCGCTGCTTCTCCGCTTCGCTTTGTGGTGTGTCCCAAATAAACGTATTCATCAATATAATTGTATCGACTTGACTGTGACATAGGTATTAAGCTAAGTGACTAGATGTTCTACTTCACTTAGTCTCAATGTTGAGTGGTTTGAGATAGTCAGCTAACAGACTTCTACCTGGAGCTTATGCTGACGATGTCATTCAGAAGAAAAATGAAAGCGGCACGGCCAAACCATTCAGCTCAGAAAACGAAACCTCATCATAATATTCAGTACCAGTTTCTGAGCCTAGACCTCATACGTCTCATATACATATACGTGTACCATAATATAATGTGTGACAATAAGTTACTTGTTATTTAACCCAAAATTTATTTTGCTCAACTATAATGGAGTGTGAGTAATAAATATTTATAACCGGTCTACTTCAGTTAGTTATGCTTATCAGACTGTTAAGTTAGATTACAGAAAATCCATTCCCACTGAAGTAACATTTATACGACACTCAGTTTCACAAGATTAAGTTTCATTCGCTTTTTATCACAATGAACTAATAACCAAATAATTCAACTACTAACTCACTTAATAATAATCATCTTTGTTTGGTGCAAGATTTTTGAAAAAGTCAAAGACTGAAGTGAAGTAGGTCTCAAATTATGGTTTCATATTGTTGACCTATCATGGGATACGTGAACCAATACTGTAAATACCCTGGGAAATCCTTGATGAAACTATTTATATACCGTTGGGTGGCTTGATATAAATCAATCATCTTTTGACTCAATAGGTTCTTGTAACCGAAAGTCCATTATTACGATAAAAGCTAACTACAAATCTTAAAAAATTGACTACACAAAACAAAACTACCATATTCACTCAATTTTCGTAAATGTTTTTAAGAAACATTTTTAATTTTAACGATTTATATGCTCATTTACAAATTAGAATCTTTAACACCTCAAGTTTATTATCAACCTTTCTCATTGTCAGTAGTATGATTTACTTTTATCCAAGTAATAGTTAGTACTAAAAACTCGATAAATATTAAACGACTTCTGTTAATTACAGTTTATCAAAACCTGATGATATCTTATATCTATGCGAGCATTTACACAAAGCCATTCAAATGAAGTTATCTTCTCTTCTGCTGTGATTCCTATGAAACCTACAAGATAACTCATGTGATGTATTACTCATATATATATATATATATATATATATATATATATATATATATATTGATTTTAATATTTACTAAAATTTACAGGTTGTTTTGCGGTATTCTGTTATTTCTGTCTGTTAAATCAACTAACAAAAGCAATGAATGAAAAAAATTGTTATCCATGTTTACCATGGTGTGGATTATTAGGATTGAGAATGAAAATGCGAACAACTTATGGAATAGAGGTATGCAGATTGATTGCAATGAAAGTGTTTATCATATTGCTTAATTTACTTTTATTTACAAAATAATCTTTTCTTTAATTGAGGATAAAACAATTGCAATATATAGACAGTTTAATCACTTTACTGGGAAGAATAAAAGTTACTTTGACGAATCTCTATGACATGAGAAAAGTACTGAAAACTTTTTACTACCATATTACATTTCCGAATCTTTTATCTATCAAAGATGTTTAGTTGTATACTTCTAAACAGAAAGGTTTTATTGAGAATATTTTTTCTTCAAATGAAATTAAATAGTACGCTGGTCAATATTATGTTTAATCTACATGATATTAATGTATTTTAGATAAGTTTAAGTCATTTTACCTTGATTATTTTATTATTACCCTCATTTAGTGATATCAACCTTTGGTTATATGTCCTAAACTGCATCGTTAAGATGGAATACAGTGTTCGTGTAGCATTTTCGACATTGTTCTGAAACATATGTTTTCTTTTTGCTACATTTGCAACAGATTACTAGGTTGATTTTTGTTCCAGTTGCAATTCAAATTCATCCGTCTGTGATGTCATTTGGAAAACGTTTCAATCCAGTCCTATAAGATAATGAAACTGAACGAAGTTGAAAATCTTTTTTGTCAGGAACTGTCATCACCCAGAGAGGCATGGAAAGTTTTTAAACAATGGACACCTGTATATTCTTGTCTTAGAGTCCTTCATAAAGACTTAGATATTTTGCATTACGAATTGAAGAAAGGTAGTTTATTATAAAAAAAATTGTTAATCACCTAGTCAGCTAAAATCTTCTTATCTCGAAAATACTGTGACTGAAATAAGCATGTAGAGAAATTTACTGCTTCAACATTATTCTTAATAATTAACTCACTCCACAATAATTTCAATTAATTATTTTTCTCGACTTTTTGAGTAGTTGAAATGAACTAACAATCTCATAAAATTATGCTCTTTACAATGAAAGAACTGAGACAAAATCACCTGTAAAAATATTGAAGTTTACCTCATTTTAAGTTTTTCTTCCAACACTACTGCACATAATATACATAATTTGGTAAACTTTAACTGTAAGATACTTAAAAAAATGCTTGTCAAGTCATATTCTACTTAGTCTACAATGAAAATATCTTTTAAACAATTGTTATTTTTTTAACTAATACAGTCTTAAATATGTGTTCAGAAATAATTAATATGAACATAGTGTTGAAGTATGACGATAATGTACAACGCATATATCTGATCATATCGTCGGCCTAGTTTGTTAACAGTAGTTTTAATCATTTTGAAAAGCAATTTCTTTAACAAACTGCGTTCAGTGTAAATCCAAACTCGACAAGGCTTATCTAAGTAAACTACACGAGATACATTAAATTAATTTTTTCATTAAAAGTAAGGAAGAATTGCATTTTGTAAGTTATCAGTCTGTTTTCATTCCCATAATGTTTGAGTGTAATAAAAATTGTATACAATTTTAAGCCTTTATAACACAGTAGCACAAAGCTTGCCTCTATTTAACTATCCTGTTTTCTAAACCCTTAAAGTAACTTCATCTTTAAGGAGACTGGAGGTTTCTTAACTTTATGCTACTTATAAGTAGTTAAATTTATAGGATACAATTTGCAGACAATTTGAAATCAGTCAACAGTTCTTTCATTTCCACCTGGTAAAATAGAGATAATCACAATCCCATTAGTAGTTTCTTAGTTTAACATTATTTAACTAAAATCAAGTAAGAATCTTCTACTAACTGGTAGATGTATTTGATGTAGCGTAGTTTTATCTTTGAAAGATCACTACAGAAAGTTTGGGAAATTGTTAGCATTATTAAACTAATCGAAATTCCAGCAGCATTATGTCCCGTATCTGAAATCTAAAAGCTATACATAAGTATCCAACGTGAAAGACAGGTGAGTTAATATAAGCTGTTTATTTGATGGCATACGTTTTCATGTATTTTGTCTTTGATGACAACATAGGTTTATCAATTAACCTACCTTGTTACGACTGGTCTAAATGACTGAATATTGTGGTGAGATTGGTGCGACTTTAGATAACCGAGGGTGTTTGAAAATAGGGCTTAAACTTAGGTTTTATACCGGTTGGCACTCCTTTGGTTTTAAGGACAGTGATGCTGTTAATAAGAAATGAACTCCAACTTTCAGTATTTTAGTGAAAGATACTGCCACTGAGGTGTCAGTTCTCTGACACTCTAAAAAACATGAAATCATTTTGGATAAATATAAGTGAAGTTTGTATCCATTTTTAAATTTCTGTGTTATTTAGGAATATGAAATACTAATGGAAACACTTTCAATTGTCTTTTCTAAACTTCATCAAATTATTTATCATAAAATTTTTAATTGAAACGATTTGAAAGTTTGGTATTTTTGCACTGACATATTTCATGTGCTAGGTGACAGTTTTCTAGGGTAAATAAACTGGAGAAGCTGCAAAAAATAACTTTGAATAATATAGTTTTTCAAATAGAAACATGCCAGTATGATTGTAAATCGCTTTGTACCTAAGTATTATGAAAGAAAACAAATATTTCTGGACAACTGTATACAGTTTCTACAATGTGTAAATTGTGCATAAGTCAGTGGATTCGTGAAATTCCGTTAATGGACTGGGAACTGACCTTGGAAATCAGATATTTTCTAACATACCATCGATTAAAACATGGTTAACTACGAAGTTAATGTTTAAAAAAACAATAGAAAAGTTTTTTCCCCAAACTTCTGATAATGTAAAGTTCGTTAGGATGTGTAAAAACATATCACATATGTTGGTCTTGATGCGATATTATTCCAGACATATCGCTATCATCACAGAACTTTTGAAATAACTAACATTGCACTGTATTAAAACCTACAAGTTACATGATAATACCGCTTGCTTGCACAATTACGGAGACATGCAAACTATCTCTTTTCTGAAACTCTCCATATTCTTGATGAGTCTGATGCGTATTTGGCTGTTTTTTATTTTAGGGTTCTATGTTTTTTTATAATAGAAACTATATAGTATATTTGACTATACACTCTCAATATACGTATCATCATTGAGGTAGAGTTTCATTCACTGAGCTTGATTTTTGTGATCGGTTGATGATCATAGATGAAAATAGGATCAAGAAACAGATCTGAAACAGATACAGACAAAATAAAGAAACACATAAATACAGGTTCAAGGACAATAACAACCAATCAAGATCAAGGTCAACAAGACAAGCTACTCGGAGAAATCGGAATACTTCACTTCTCGGCTGTCTGAACTAAGCTCATGTATAGTTTGTGCTGATGATGTTGTTCAGAATAACAATGAAAACTCCACCACAATCATCAACCTGAGCTAAAAATTTTCTCCACTATCTCATAAGTATCATCATTAATGTTTATCGGAAATATAAATGAATCATTTTAATCGATTTGTGATAAATGAATTCAGTATATCTGCTACACTAAAGTAATCATAATCATATATTATTTTTCGTAAAATTTTGCAAAAAATAACATTGAAACGTACATTAAATATGATGCCAAGATATCAATAAAACATTCACGTTAAAACATGTTCATCACAATAATATCGTTAATAATGCTTAAATAAAGCTACAAATTTTATATTCCGTATATTTTATAGGATATACAAAAGCTTATCACCAGATTATTAGCTGGTAAAGATTTGGATTTGAATCATTGTAAGCTGATTTAGAAATGTAACAAATTAAAGTATTTAGTATACTGGTATTATATGCGACGTGAAATATGTGTTTTCGATTGAATCAGTAGATCATTTTACATTGGATACAAATGATAAATAAGAAAACTAATACTAATCCTTAAAGGATTCTTTAAAGTTCGTACGGCTATCAAAAGAGAAGATTAAAATTTGACAAGGACTTTAAGGCTCATATTTAGATCTTTCACAACAGTTTTGTCTGAGTCACATTAATCATTGTAAAGGCAGGCTTACTAAACGTATATGTCCTCTGATATATATCATAGTAATCAAGAGAGACCAGTCAGAAAAAAGAATAAAATCTGATTACTGAGGATGTGCGAAATGTGGGTAGACCACCTTGAAGAGGTCCTGGAGTAACCAAACCCACCGGGACTGTCGGACATCAACGCATATAAACCTCGCTATACCAGCAAAGAGCGCAGCAAAAATAGCCTCCAGAAAAAATAAGAGTGACAAAGCAGACGAACCAAACAAAAAACTGCATTCATATATAGAAGCAACTGTAAAAATATTCTGTGCTCTCTTCGTAAATACTTGGGAAGAAGAAAAGTACCAAGAGACTGGATATAGGGAGATATCAGCACGATCTCATGTAACTACCAGAACTACAGAAGCATCAAATTGTCGAAACTAGGCAAACTTTCACTCAGAATGGTGCCAAACAGAATGAAGGATTCAATATAAGCCCAACTTGGAGACAAACAGATTGACTTTCTTAAGGACAGATTATGTATTGACCAAATAGCGGTCCACTGTTGAACAGTTAATTATACTAAACACCTCAATATACATCAACTTCCTTGATTATAAGGAAGCGTTAAACAGTGTATATAGGAGAACATTCTGAAGTGTCCCTCAAGACTATGGAGTACCTGAGAAGATTGTAACCATTATATAGAACTCTTGCTATAGGCTGGATTACAAAGTCATGCGTTACGGCAGCCTACAGAGCCCTCCCGCGTAAGGAGTGGCATTAGACAAGTCTGGTTACCCTCCCCTTTTCTCTTTCTTCTGATTGCTAACGGTATTATGAAGGCCTCCATATCTCAGGAGCAAATTGGAATTCACAGATGACCTAGCTCTTCTATCCCATATACGAAAACAGAAAAGTAAAATAAAACTCCCAGTGTAGCAGCAGTTACAAGAGGAAAAGCAAAATTTTAAAACATAACACAACAAAAAACGATTAAGTCACACTTGATGGCGAAGCTTTAAAAGAGGTGGGAACTACAACTTGGAGAACTACTACATCCACTACAAAAATTTATAGGTATTTACAAAAAATTATCTACGCACGTTACTCCAGATCGATTAGCTGAAGACCGTAAGTAACAATTGCCTCCGGTAGTGAACAAAAAACTTTCAGTTTAGGAGGAAATCGGGAAAACATACTGATGATGGATAGGATACACTTTACGAAAATCACCAAATTGCACCACAAGACAACTCCTTACTTAAATTATCCAAGTAAAGTAAAAAGTGCATATAACCCTGGCAATCGGAGGTAGACAACAGTAGTACGAATAACATTTACAAACAACTGTAAAGAAAAACTCAGGAGACAGTTAGTTAGCAGTCCGTGAACAGCAGTCTGTATACCGGTAACGTGCTTGAAAAAGCAAACAAGGAAATCAATACAATAATCACAGCGTGTTTTCCCTTAAGTTATTTGATTCTTTTTAATATTAGATCTAAAATGATCAACGTTTATTGAAAATAAACGATTGTCAAAATCATAATTATAAGTTTGTTTTTAATTGAAAAAAAACAATGCTCCATGATAATATGAAATATTATTTCTGATTTAATCATGAATCTAATTACCTATGAGCTTTTTAAAAAAAATAATAATGGTTATGTGATTTTTTTTAAAAAAAAAATGAAACTATTCGGCGTCACAATCTACACATTAACTATGAATAAATATCAAATCTTTGTAGAATCATCTGTATTTCCGATATATTTAAATTTGCACAGAATGACTTTTATATTTCTATGAATATATTCAGTATTAACAATAGATTTTTCTAGAAACAAACATTTTATAACTAGATATTTCGAAAAGATTTCAATGAACTGAGTAGATTAGATCATCATCATCAACAACAACAACAATAACAACAGAAAAAAATAGAGATTCACATTGTATTTCAATGATTTTTAATGCAACTAACTATATTAGTTTGTTTGTTTTTTAACCATTCAAAGTACTTTTAAATGTTCAATTTTTATTTGTGAATTTATTTATCAGCAGAACAATTTATTGAGCAGTATAATTTCACATTTCAGGGAAATATAGTTTTCAGTTTGAAAAAATAAATCACGCTCATATGACTTTGAGATGGTGGAGAAAACTTGTAGCTCAGGTAGATGATTGTGGTGGTGTTTCGTTCTCTGAGCTGGTTGTTTTGGTTGTGGAGCTTTCATTGTTCTTCTGAACAACAACACAGGATCAAGGAACAGATCAAAAGGGGGATGCAATCAAAACAAAGTTGCAAACAACGACAGGTCAAAGGTCAACAACAACCAATCAAGATCGAGGTTAGCAGAACAAGCTACAGGTCAAACGTGGAGAAATTCGAATGTTTCACTTCTATCTGAAGTTTGTGCTGATGATGTTGTTCAGTAGAAAAACAATGAAAGCTCCACAACCAAAACAACCGACTCAGAGAACGAAACACCACCACAAAAAATAAATCATATGGGTTATTTGAAACTGTTCATGATGCATAGAATTTCATAAATATCAGAGAAATTCCAATTTTACATTTAAAGATTGTTGTCTTATGTAATTAGAGTGTATACATGAAAAAAAATTTTAATTGTTCGACTGGATTTATATATTTATGCAATTGTTCAGTGTATTTCCAGTTGATCATTTTAATAGTTTTATTGATATTAAACTTATAGACAATAACTCATTATTCTAGATTTTAAATTCTCTCTTCGAGGCCTAAAAGTCGTGCGTTTGATCTCTAGAATGACCGTATATGCTTACTATCAAAAGGTGCCATACAAGAACAAACCAAATTTCCGTTGCTCTTTGGTTTCCAATGATTGTCTGTACAAATCTAGTCTGTTAGTATTCAAAAATCGTCACGACACCTCATTTTGGTGATAATAAAACGAAACATAAGGTGTTCAACTTTCAAAATGAATTACGTATTTCTCAATATATGAAATTCAAAATACTATTAAAATCTCTGTCAATATCTGTCTCTTTTTATGTTTAATACAAATAAAATGACATTTTATGAGCTTTTTCTTTTGCATGAATTCAACTGGTTATAAGTTTAGAAAGTATTATTTTACACAATCGATTTACATACGAAAACCAACACACTTCACATGTGTGATTTACTGAAAAATTGACAGTGAATCAGTCTATGCAATAAATATTGTGTAAAAATGATTTTATTTCTGCCGGTATTTTCATGCAAGTTGTACGTGACTTTTCTTTTAGAATTCAGTCAAGCTGTATTTTCTGGAAGTGGATTTACTAACATGCATTAATGAATAATCATGTGAACACGTTGAAAAGTCCTGCTTTATTTTTTTAATAACTTAATTCTATAATAATATATAACTCATGTTTACTAATAAAAATTACCGTTCAAATGTCATTATTTTTCTAGAGCTTTTTATACATACCATTGTAAGTTTTCTCTATCTGTATTGTTGATTGGAAAAATTAAGGCTATTTACATGCGTTGTAGATTGATTGATAAGAAAGACATGTAATAAGCTATGTTCAATTCATTTGATGCAATTATTGAATAAACACTTGTACAAAAACACTTAAACATTAGTTGATCATTTAACAATTTAACAATGAATACAAACAATAAATTATATTTCACAGTCAAATGTGAGTTTATATTCTTGAAAAAAATACAGAAAAACGACTGTTTCTGACTAAAACAAAAACCAGGAAATGTTTGGATTTCAAATTTATATTTGTTGTATATTAACACAAGACATTGAAAAAAAAAAAGATTTATGTTCATGTATTTTAGGAAACATGAGAACTACTACCTTGTATTAACTATCACCGACTAGTTAGTCAGTAAACATGAACCATTCTGTAGTGAGACTAGTTCGAAATAAATTTATCTAAAATTACCTAAAATTCACTTGGTAATATGAGCACGTTGTGAATTACTATTTTTATTCACTGCTGTCTATATATATGAAGATTTGATCAATGAAACAAATAAGTTTATCTTTCCTAATTTATACACTGTTGTGTATTACATGACACTAACTACAATATCTTAATCTAAGAGAAGAGACAATATTGGTTACATGAATTTGCTTTGATATTCACTATTATTTCGTAAAATACTTTCAATCAGAGTTATGGAGATTAGCGTTTTTACACTGTGGTCCAATGTTTTCTGTAGATTGTTTACAGTCACATAAAATTCAACACAAAATGAAGAGCAACTGTTAAAACTTGCTTTCATTTTACACGAATTTTGATTTCTCAGACTTATCTTTGTTTATTTCAGATGTATGATATTTTTCAGTTAGAGTTTTGGGGGTTTGTGTTTTCACACATTTGAAATCATCAATCAATCATTGTTAGACCACCATTAGAAACCTGGAAGCACTGGACGAGCATTTCGTCCTGGTATGGGACTCGTCAGCAGTGCGCATCCACGACTCCTGCACCTCGCAAAGTCCGAACCCTGGACCTTCGGAACTGTGCGCGAATTCCTAAGCATTGAACCAGTGGGCCGGCATCCAATGGTTTTAATGTCTAACTCTGACTGATCTAGGGATTTTGCGCGACCTCACCCATTTGTCTTTGGTAGTTACTGCCTATACCCGACAGGGTTGAACTACACTGGTCACGTCTTCTCAACTAGAACTCCGAAAATTTCCTCACGAAGCTAGTTACTAGTGAGCACATTTTACGATATTTCCAATTAGAGTTATGGAGATTAGTGTTTGTACACATTTGAAATCATAAATAATCCATAGTTACTGTTCGACAATAACTTCAGGTGCATTGAACAATTATGTAGTACTCGATACTACCACTTATTCAAAACATCTTCCAACCACATTAATCTTTGAATTGGCTTCCTTCGATATTATATATTTAGGAATTGTAAAAATAACTGAATAAATAAAATTCATCATTCTGTTTCAAGTGTGTTTCATTAGCTTCATTATACACAACAAATGAATCATCATTATCATTGCCAAACTATCGATTAACTGTGACTCATTTCTATAAAATGGCGGCGAATGAAGACTAGACGAAAGTACTATATTGATCTTTATCCAAAAAACAATGAATTTCAAATCACAATTAAATAGTATCCCGAAATAATCTTTACATATCTTACTTACTATTTACTTACGCCTGTTACCCCCAATGGATCATAGGCCGCCCACCAGTTTTCTCCAACCAACTCTGTCCTGGGCTTCCCTCTCCAGTTCTGTCCAATGTTTGTTCATTCCTCTCATATCTTTCTATATTTCTCGGCGTAATTTGTTATCTTTACATACTACGTTTGATATATACACACCGGTATACATCGTGAATTAATTACTTGATTTATTTTTGTATTTCAGGGTGATGGATGCAAAGATTGTTGTCAATTATGTTTTTGTAATGGTTGTGTAGCATGTCAAATGCATTATGAAGCACAACAAATTGGACTGATAGAAAAGAAAACCTGTTCAGATGCATGTAATCGTTGTTGTGTATGTTATCGATGAGGAGAATGGAATTAATATTTAAAATTAGAATAAAAGGCGACCTGTAAACTTTCAAATGCTTTCATCGACATACTGTGTATAATTGAGTAGATTTAAGTGAATTCTTAACGTCTTTTAAGTAAAAAAATTATATATATACTACACTTTAAAAGTTATTAAAAATAAATATCAAAGCTATCATCGGTGTTGGTTGTTCATTCACAACTTCATAAAACATATAAATTTGTGTTATGAACCTAATTGAACATTTAAATGTGTGTATAATTTTTTTATTATCCAGTTCAAAAAAAATATAACTAAAAAAATAAATAATTTACAATTTAACAATCTATTTCTTTTTTATCTATTGAATGTTGACAAATATTCAGCTAATATATAAGCATATTATTGTCTAGTTAAATAGTTAGTTATTTAAAGAAATTCAACTGAATTGTTTAAATGTTCGAAATTTTTAGTATTAAAAAGTAGATTTTATTTAGTCGATATTTTAAACAGCATCTCTGTACCGATAGCAAAATTATTCATTTTCATAAAATCGCTTAAATTTTCATAACAAGCATGATAATTAAGAGGCGAATTAGGCGTTTTTAAGAACTGCATCCAATCTGCTTAGATATATTCATATTGCTAACGGATGTGTGAATGTGTTTGATTGGCCTCCCAGCTAACTTGACTAAACGAAAGAAACGCTAAATGAATTTCAAATAGTATTATTATCCAGTACATTATATTAGTAAAGTGTGGACATTAATTTCGAAATGTCCAACCCAAATACACGGTCAGTTTAATATATTCTCGAAAATTAACTGATGGTCGCCTGAAATCTTTTCGAAATAACTCCATGATTATTTTACCGACTTCGAATAATTGGATTAACCTCGTATTAGTCAAATAGTTGACAGTGACATCTTAAACGGAAGATCGATCTTTAAATAGTCTTTGTTAGAATTTCTGACAGTTTAACTTGTAAAGGGACCCAAAATGAAAAGTTTTATCGCAGTTCATTTACTACCAATGGCTAAAAAGATTAAATTGCAAACGAGTCTTACATCTACATTGATTAATTTAACAAGAATGACACGTTTTTAGAATCGATAAATATTAGAACTGAAATGAATTATTTTTTTACGAAGTACTTTACATCATAAGCTGATATCGACTTGAGCAACGTTGGAAACGCTGAAGTATTTAACAGCTATCTCATCTTAGATGGAAAAGAAAGTAACCTTCATGTAACAGGAAAATCTTCTCAAATCTGATTTGGTTTTATTGCGCTTACGAGCCTAATTTTGTAGAATTTCGAAAACCTCACAAGGAAAAATACTACTAATCACAATTAAAGCATCATAGGATAGTTAGTTTTCTCAGTATAAACATTAATCAGACACCTACAAATTAAATATATCGATCGCAACAGCCTGTCAATATTGGTTCTCAGTTTGTCGTGAAAAAGAATGGCGAGAATAAGTCTGAAAGATGAACTGCACAAAATCATGTCATCAGTAATATCCACTAGATATGCCTAAAATTAAAAGTTGATATTATTTTCGGGTTACTATTTTTTGCATTAATTCAGTTTGAAGTTTGTTCAATGTGACTAGTGTGAAAATCTTGTTCAATGTACTATTGTTTCAAGTATTTCAAGTATCCTTGTATCGATTTGGTTTGCATTTCTATCAGAGAGACACAAGTGAGCATTCATTCAACGTGAACAGTTGTATTCTTCATGCTAATTGAATGTTAGCTCTGTATGTTCGTTTAAGGTAGATTTATGTAATTTGTTTTCCTTTATTAACACTGAATTATTCAATGTGTAGAATCATGATATAAATAAGTGTATTTAAGTTCCCCAATGACGGTGTTTTCCAGAGACAGCATAAATTTCCATATGTATCGGTCTTTTGAGTTGTGGTAATTACTATTACCTAATTTTTAAGTAAAAACAGTAGAATGGTAGTTAAAACATACATGCAACATGAGAACACTCATTTTCATTTAGTTTGCTCAATTTTCTATTATATTTAAGTAATTTGTAATTTTATTACTTCCACTAGTATTTCAGTCGCTTCGAATTATCACGAAACATAAGTGATGAGTAAAATTTATGACATGAGAGAAATAAACCATACTTAATTATCACGTGAATTAAACTGTAACACAAGAATTTATAATCTTTTGAAGTGATGATTAGTAGGCGACTTTATCATGAGTAATCATATAATTGTGATATGCAAAAAAAACAGTAACATTGGCAAATTCATATGATATGAATATAACCATGTATCGATATTTGAGCATCACCTTGTATTGTGCATTTTGACAGGAAAACAATTCGTTTGCTTACATCATAAGATTTTGTCAAAGATAACGTGGTGTTTCATATTTAACATAAAATAGTGTATTTTATATAGGATATAAAGAGACGAAGGGTATCTTTAAAAATGAAAGCTAAACTTAAACTAAGTAAAATAGTGTTTTCTGTTAAATTTAACAGAAATATAGAAACTAAATTAAAACTAGGCTAAAAGGAAAGTTTTTCAAATGACTAGCTATTTTTTCCACTGAATAATTTCAAAGACGTTATCAAAAACACCAACAATTCCAGTCTATCAGTGTGAAGCATTTTTGTATGCCTATAAAGCGGAATATGTAGATATTAACAAATATTACTTACTTACGCCTGTTACCCTCAGTGGATGTTACGCTCGTCTCTAGGTATGTTTAAACTAATACGAGTTCCCCTAGTTGAATTACGAGAACAAAACAATGAACCAGCATCCGAGTAGGCTACTAGGATCCCTTGACCAAAAAGTATCAGCCAGAAGTCTTGATATAGTGTAGAAATTGTATTCTACAAACACCCAGCCAGCACACAATGAATCCAAGCACTCAAATTGCGTTTATTTATACTCTATAGAGACGTCCTTGGGACAGTCACAAAAATAGTACACTAAAATGACACAGTAACCAATCACAGTCAAGGATTTTCCTGGTGGGATATGTGATCTCATGGTCAACTGATCGGTTCCATGAAATAGATCCAAAATGAAGATATATATCAAGCGAGTTCTGGAGATCTAACATCCCCAGCAGCGGAGCATAGGCCACCGGCCAGCATTCTCCAACCTACTCTGTCCTGATCTGTCCTTTACAGCTCTAACCTAGTGCTGTTCATTATTTTCATGTCTGTATCCAATTCTCAAGGCAGTATGTTCTTTGATCTACCTCTTTTACATTAGCCTTGGGGATTCTAATCCAGGGCTTGCCTCGAGATGCGATTGGGTGGATTCTTTGGTGTGTGTCCTGTCTACTTACGGAGCTTCGTCCTGATTTCTTCGTCTGCTGGTACCTGATTTGTTCTCTTCTACGGTATGTTGTTACTGATAGTGTTTGGCCAACAGATACTCAGTAGCTTGTATAGACAGCTGTTAACAAAAACCTGTGTCTTTCGGATGATGGCTTTTGAAGTTCTCCAAGTTTCTACCCCATACAATAAAACGGTTTTGATGTTTGTATTGAAAATTCTGACTCTGGTATTGGTTGACAGTTGCTTTTGATTCTAAATGTTCTCCAGATGTAGAAATACTGCCCTTGGTTTGCCAGTCCCTGTGTTTACATCTCTGTCAGATCCACTTCGTTTATCACTGACGTTGCCAGTGTATGTACAGGTTTCTACATTCTCCACACCCTCCCAGTGAAGCGTGATTTGGTTGATGCATGTTGTGTTGTGTCGGAGAATCTTACTTTTCCGTTTATGTATTTTGAGACCTACTGCTGCTGAGGCTGCTGTTACACTGGTCTTCTTTTCCTACATTTTTTGGTGCGTATGCGATAGAAGAATCAGATTATATGCAAAGTCCAGAGTATCTAGCTGCATCCCAGCTGCCCACTGAATCCATGCTTTCCCTCAGATGTTGACATCTACATAACCCAGGAGAAAGAAAAAGGGTGAGAGTAAGCAACCTCGCCTGACACCAGTCTTCATTTGGAATGAGTTTGTGAGCTGCTCTCCACCCACGATTTCGCAGTGTAGTCCATCAAAGAAATTCCGCATTATGTTGACTACCTTCTGAGATACGCCATAGTGTCGAAGGAGCCTTCACTGTCATCCTATACATTCTGTCAGATATTTACCCTTATCTAAGGAAATTGATGGATGGTGGTGAGATCGATTCAAACAATCATTCCACAATGAATCAAAGTGTCGCGATTCGGTCGGTACATGATCGATCCTTACGGAATCCAGCCTACTGATCTTGAAGTTAAGCATCAACTCAATCTTTCATCCCATTCAGCAAAACTCTCTTAAAAACCTTTCCTGATACTGATAGTAAAGTGATGTAGCTGCAGTTTAGACACTGAAATATCCTTTCCTTGGTATCTTGATGAGGTTTCCTTCTTTCTAGTCTAATATTACTTTTTCTTCCTCCCAAATCTTGCTGAAGATCGAGTGGAACATTTTAAACTTAGTACTATGTCTTCTTTCAATGCCTGAGGTAGTATGTTTTTTGGTCTAGCTACTTTGATGCTCTTCATTTGTCTGATGGCCTTGAACATTTCTTTGATTTTTAGTAACGGTACATCAGTTGAGATGTACGTAGGCGCTGTTTCAATATTGAGTTGGTTCAATGGGACTGGTCTATTCGAGAGTTCTTCACAGTTCTATACCCACCTGTTTCGTTATTCTCCAATGTTGGTGATTGACTTGCTATCATTGCTCCTAACTGGTCATTCTGGTTTACTATATTTTCCCGCAAGTTTCCTCGTTGTAGCAAGTAATTATTTCATGATTCCTTCTCCAGCAGCTTTTACTGATATCCCTGACTGCAGCCCTTCTAAAGTTACTGTCTGTCCTAAGCCCAGAAAAAGGAGAGGGATTGGGCATCGCGTAGAAAAAAAACTCGCTAAAAGATGCAAACCAAAAAAAGACAGTTTAAACTCTGCTCTGGGAATCGGAATGCCTTCACTGTAAAGAGTCATTGTACCTCACGGTAAAATCAGAGTTCCTTACGAGATCACGAAGCCGATGCCCATTCTCGTAACTAGAACAACAAG